CCGCCATGTGATTGGCTGATTAGAAATTAAGTGTTAACGAGCAGTTGGACAGGTGTACCTAATAAAGTGGCCGGTGAGTGTATATATACACTGTATATAATATTTAACAAGCATTAGCTTTTCCTGTTTTAACACCATTTTGTTTTACACTTTGAGTCAACAATAAAAATTATACAACAATAGTTATGTAACTTTTTTATATTTATATGCTAATCCAAAGGGCACACACACACAAAAAAAAAAGAAGCACGACCAAAAGGAACCCGGGGTGTTACAGCACCCCCTTGTGGCTGTCCAAAAATAACAATAAACGTAAAATGAGTACATAAATAAATTAAAATTAACAATGACTAAATGACCAAGTGAACACATAAAATACATTATTTACTAATTTTATGTAGGATTATAATCCAAATATCCTTTTTATGATAGTAAATTATTTTTAGAGGAGAAAAAAGTCTTGTTTGGTCACGTCCATATAAGATTTTTTTTACACAATCTCACAGCACCACCACTGTGAAAGAAAAAAAAAAGAATGCAGTGATATGTTAGTATTTGTGTCACTAGATGAAAAGCTGAAAAATGTTTAGGAAACTTCACCTCAGCTTATTTTATGCATTTTTTTTACACTTTGATTTATGTTCTTTAAAATGAATGAATAAAGGTTAATAAAAAAACTCAAATCACTTACAAGTAAAAGAAAGCTCTCAGGATATTTAAACCAACAACATCTAATTTCAAGCAGTGCATGTCTGTAATCAGAATCAATATGTGCACCAGGAATCGATCCAGTGGAGATGAACGTCCCCAGTCCATATCTCAGAGGACGATCTGTGTCTATATTATCATTTTTTCGTGAACGAATTGATTCCTGCAGAATTTACACACATGACTGCAGAAAAAAGTACTGACTGTTACTTCTGTTAAAACCTTGAACCTTTTGTTTCCTTATTCTAAAAGCCAAATAACAAATGTACAGAAAGTACACTGCATGCTTTTAGAGAGGATCCTTATGCAGAAATTCTTGCCTCTCCAGGTGAATCTTTCAACAGTAAAATATACAATTACAGAGCCAGTCTATTGAGCCATGCAGTGTGTTTAAAATAGAACTTAATGGTGTGAATTTGAAATGAAGCAGAGGAGAGAAGAACAGGACACACACACACACACACACACACACACACACACACACACACACACACACACACACACAGGACAGACAGAGACAATACACACAGGATGTCACTTTGTGTCAGTGACATTTCCACTGAGGGAGGACAGGTTAACTTGTCTTTTACACAGAATACACTTGTGTATGGTACAAATACCCCATGTGGACACACACACACACACACACACACACACACACACACACACACACACACACACACACNACACACACACACACACACACACACACACACACACACACACACACACACACACGTGCATGGACATACAGAACAGCCCAGAGCATCAGACACCCCCAGTATGTCACACACCAACAACCTCGGCTCCACCAATCCACTGCCAGTCTAACCGAATTGAATTCAATTCAATTCAATTGAATTAATTGAACTGAATTGAATTAATTGAACTGAATTGAATTGAACTTTGAGGAACTAACTCGATTTATGCTGAGATTTTTGTCTTGCTTTAAACTGAACATACATAGTCATCATGTTTACAGGTCTGACTCTCTGAGGCACAGAGTGTAAAAAATAATGGTAAAAAATAAAACTAACATATTATTTTCATTTTTTAGCTCACTTTCTGAGAGTTAAAAACTACAAGTAAACCTTAAATCTAAATGTGTAAATCTTAATGTAAAAGTTAAATCTTGCTGTACGATTGACAACAGCATTCTTCTTGGAAAGCTGAATCAATATGGAATCAGAGGACCAGCACTACAATGAGTATCAAGTTATTTAAAAGATAGGAAACAGTTTGTACAAGTAAATGATGTAAGATCTGAACTCTGTAACATCACATGTGGAGTTCCACAAGGTTCTGTACTTGGACCAAATTGTTTATTTTGTATGTAAATGACTTTGTGTATGTGTCAGGACTTTTAAAATGTGTTCTCTTTGCAGATGATACAACATTTTTTGTTTGGGTAAAGACATAGAACGAATGATGGGGATGATGCAGATAGAATTTGTTAAAATACATACTTGGTTTCAGCTCATTAAACTGGGGGGGGGGGTTGGGGGGACTGTTGGCCACAGAAACTGGCAGAACGTGGACGGTTAGGGATGGGAGATAATGTTTCCAGCTGCGGATCGGGTTGGGAGGGGGCTATTTAACTTTATTTATTGTATTTTTTTATCTCCTACAGGCTCTGAGACGTAAAATAAATTTGAAGCTGAGTTTTTGAAAATATCAGAAAAAAATCAGTCAGATTTCTCCATACGTCTGCACACATACAAAATGGAGGAAAATCGGTGTAGTTTTTGAACCATCTGTACCACTTGACCTGTTTGCTACTGTCTCAGGATGATGATGTCATAACAAAAGCCGAGCACCAACAGCAAAGGCTGCATTCCATTCTGAAATACCTTCATGTAAACCTCAACTTTAAACTTTTACGTTTAGATTTACACATTTGATATTTAGCAACATTTAAATTTAACACAGGGTTCCTACAGCTTAAGGCAAGTTAAATTTAAGGTTTTTTAATGCTTTTTAATGACAATTGAAAGGAAATTTAAGATCAACTTCACAATAAGCACAAATGTGAAAAAAAAAGAAAACAATTTTACCCAAATATTTATTTTAATGCAAAACAACTAGCTGCGGTAAATTTGATAAATTGTTTTAAAAAATAAAATAAATGTTACCGATCATTTTAATATTTGAGACAAACACAGTCATCCTATTCAGAATGTGTTAACATTTTTAAGACCTCTGAAAGATTGAATTAAGACATTTTAAGGCTATTTAAGGCCTTATTTTTGGATTGATGAATTCAACACGTTTGAAGACTTTTTTAAGGATCCGCGGGAACCCTGTAAGATTTAGTAAAAATTAGCAAAATGTAAGATAAATGTAAATAATAAAATGTTAGTGGACATTTTTAACACTCAGAAAGTGAGCTAAATAATAGAAAATGTGTTAGTGAAATTTCTTTAACATTATTATTTATACTTTTTGCCCCCAAACGACTCATTAAAGGCACAGTGTGTAGGATTTGTTGTTTTCAGCGATATCTAGTGGTTGAGTGGTTGAATCATCCTCCCTGGTCCTCCCCCCACC